TTTTACTATCTTATGAAACGCGATATAACACTTCGTCATTTCGCAATTAATTATTATCGCGATTAATTATTTGCAATAATATTATTAGTTTGGCGATTACGCGAAAATACATCGCGTGTATATATATATATATATATATAAGACTCGTCAAACTCGTGCGTGACGACGATAAAATATATATGATCCGAAACGGCGAAAATCTCGCCGCGCGGTAAAACTATCATAATAGGTTTCTGTATTACAAAGGAGTCTCAATTATAATTTGCACTTCAATTAGATCAAACACGCGATTTAATTAACGAATAAATTAATAGAAAAGCGAGGCCCCGGCTAATTCACCGGAATTAACCGAAAAGTACGAACACGCAATTGCACAAATCATAACGTTAATTATACATCGCGTACTACAATAAAATATAATTATCCAACTACTTCTAATTTTGTTCGCGCGTGAGTGTGTGTGTGTGTGTGAGCGATCGCAATACTTCTCATTAATTCCCGACAATTTTCAAACCCAATTTCGAGACGTACATCTGTATTCCGGTGATACAATGATCGTCACGGTTAACAATTATATACACGTTCGTTTAATCATCAAAAAGACCGTTGTCGCGGCGCGCGACAGGGAAGCTCTCTCGCGACATTTATTACGGCGCGAAATATCTAATCCGCGCATTCATATCCGTCTCTCATAGTTGAAGCGACGAGGGGAAGGGAGGATCCCTCGAGCGTATTTTAAGTACCAGAATAATCCGTCTCCACCGATGTCTCGCCGCGACTCCCTCCACGGGACTCTCTTATCTTCCCGCCCTTTCATCTTTGCGGTCGTACATCTTACCTCGCCGTAAAACCGAGACGGCGGGGGGGGGGCGGAGAGGGGGGGGAGGAGAAGGAGACTTACGAGGTGTAAGCGGAGGGTAATCCAAGGCGGCCACCCATAATTTAATGACGTTTAATATGCAACCGCGCGTCGACGAAACTATTATTCTGACCTCTGCGCTGACGGTATAGGGGCGCGGCCGTCGCTGTCTCGCGTAACCGCGAATCAGGTCGCGCGGGCGCATTATTACGGAAGCGAAATGGATCTGTCCGCGGCTATTACGCGAAATTTTAAATCGCACCGCAAGATCTCGCGTTTCCGCGACGATATGAAACGCCGCTGTAACGTCGCAGCCAGCCAAGCTGCGCTAATGAAATATTATCCGACGAGTTACAAAAGTTTCATAATTTTTTTTTTTTTTTTTTTTTTGTTTAATTGAATTACGTATACCTCTCGTCGAAATAGCGCGGAAGGATGTGAAACAATCTCCGTCGTACAAATTAACGAACACGCCGCGATAGATTCGCGAATCGAAATTTATATCAAACTGCAGACTCAATTAGTTGACATCCGCCGCGTAGTCGTCTTTTCGCGCAAATCCCGATATTTTGTTAACCGCTATATTGTGTATATAGCAACGCGACGTTAACGAGTTAACCCATATCTGCGGATCGATGCGGTAAAAAACCCGTCGAAACGTAAAAATGGGCGGTGTTTCAGTCAATCCTCTGTTTTTCCCCGAACCGTGGAGAGATCGCGAAGTGTCAATTTGAATCTCTTTCCAAACCGAGATAAAAACATTTCGCGCGCGCGCGCGCGATGAAATTCCGCATTCGGGGTCTCGCGTCATGAAAACGCTTTCGCGGAGTGCACCGTCGACGTACATTCTCGTCGTCGACGGTGGCGGCGGCGCCATCGACGGATGTCGTACAGACATCTCTCGACTTCCGAGACGAGACGACGACGACGACGACGACGACGCGCGGAGATGAGACTCCGATACTCGAGACCCATCAGCGGCAAAAACCACGCGTCGCCGTTGTCGAGAGACGGATCCGCTTTCTGCAACGCGGACGACTTTTTTTGCCGGTCGTCTCGAAAGCGATTTTAAGATCGCGATGTATCGGTCGGGATCATTAATTCTCGCGTTTTTGTGCCATCCGCAGACACGAGAGATTCATTTATTAAGACGATCGAAGAAAGCGCTAGCTCAAGTTTCTCTCAAAGAAACTTGTGTCGCATTGATATAATAGTTGTAATATACATGTATGTAATATATAACATTATATGTATATTTAGAATATACATATATATATATATATATATATATATATATATATATATATATATATAATTTATATAACTATATATATATTATATATGTAATTTATATATGAAGATCACAGGGGATGAAGTTGATAAGACACATTTTTGTAATCTTAGATGAGAACGATTTTAAAGTTCGAAACGTACATGTGTTTCTCTGTTACACGTTTTATAAAACTGCTTATATCACGGAATCTATCGAGAATTTAATTACTCCGTTTTAACTATCAAGTAACATCAAAAACAAAAAATCTGAAAAAAATAGATCTATTAAGTTCTTCTCTCGTTGATCTTCATGTATATATATATATATAAAATTATATATATATATATATATATATATAAAAATATATATATATATATATATATATAAAATAATACTACTATATGTAAAAAATAATGTAATAATTGTCATCATTTATCATTAATTCTTGTCGTTCTCTAGTAAAACATAGAGCCTCCGAAATCGTTGTACGAAACAGTCCAACGATTCGTAGAGATTTCATCAATCATTAGATCTCGGTAGTTAGTGTTGTTAATTTTTTATAATAGTTGTAATATACCGAGGTGTAAAAACATTTTAGATCACTTCATCAGGATTTTTCACGAGCAGTTTGCTCCTGGTCAGATGTCCCTTTTTGTAACGCTAGATTATAGAAAAGGGGTTGTAGTTGATTCGAACGTTGGAAACCTCCGCTTCGCGGACTCAGGCCGCGAGACCAGTGAGCAGGTCAAATCAGGAAATACGATCTTTATATTATCATATGCTGAATGTACGTGAAATATATATGTATATACATGTATTTCATATGTATATACATATATTTCACGTACAATTGCACCTCATTAAATTGCCCGAAGCCGAGCATCGTGACCTCAAGAATCATTGAAAATCGCTCGCGCCGTAAGCTCTTCGCGCATTGGATCGCATAGCGCAGCGCGCACACCATGACTCAAGAGTGGGACTAATGAAACGCAGGGAGGTTCCTTCTGTTCTTTCTGCGGTAGTATATTGGACGTGAATAGCAATACACATCCGAAATAATTATTGGAGGTCCGGGGATTCAGTTCACCAATCAATCGATCAATTCGATCGAAAGGAACCGGCCCGGAGAAAACATTCCAATGTGCGAATTCGAACTCGGAACCTCCATGTTCGCAGCTTCCTATATAATAGTTGTAATATATACATATATATATAACATAAGTTATTACATATACAAATGTCCGCTTTCTAATTCTACAAAACTGTGTGTGTGGCTACAAATACATATATTATCAATTGTGTTCAATACGATATTATAAATACGCTATCTTACTGTAGTGCACGGTAATAATAATCATCGCAGTCTTTTCGTGTGTTTGTGTGTGTGTGTGTGTGTGTGTGAAAAAATCTTGTAAAAAATGAAAAACATTTATATATATATCATACGCAAAAAATCGCCACACCTCATTGTTCATTAACCAAAGCGTAAATGTAATATGAAAAGAAGAATGTCTACGATCGCCGCAATCTTACCGCAAAAAAACAGCGTGGAGATCGGCCGGCGTGTGTTGCTCTCTCCTTAGTTTTTTTTTCCTAATGGCTTCACCTTACTTCGTTCGAATACCTGATGAATAAAATGTTAGTTCTCATGCATTATGATAAAAAAATGTTTAGGCGGCGAGGCTCGGTTAGTCGCATTTCTCGAGTATCTCAGTCCGGATACCCGCGTTGGATATAGTAGTAATGGAAATAGAGAATTCGATCAAGTGGGATGGTTTCAAAGCAGCATACGGACAAATAGTGTTACTCTCTCTGGTATTGTGCAGTCGTTCTCGAGAAAAAACATTAAAACTAAAAAATATCCAATCTGGCTATCTAATGTATATCATCATCATCATTACAGCTAAATATCGAGTATATATATCGGTAAATGAACGATCAACAAGACTTTTGGAGGGGGGGAAAGGTGATTGCGGGATTCATCCCTACGCAACGACACGAACACGTACATACACAATAAGATCGGGGATTTAAGAGAAGGGAGAAAGGGAGCGGGGGAATTTTAGTGGGTGAAAAGAGAGAGAGACGCGCGCATTAACAAGGCACGCACAGATATATAATATATATATATATATATAAGGACGTAATATCATCACATATCTAAACATCGATCAACTAAAGCTAAGAGATACGGATATGTACCTTTCGACAGAAAAAAAGAGAACAAAGTTCAATCAAATCGGTGTCAATCAAAGTCAATCGAGTCGGAGAGTAGTGGTGAGTCTCGCACACTTGCTTGATAATAAACATACATATATATATACATATACTTGTGTGTATATATATATATATATACATATGTAAATCAAATCGGTATGTAATCGGATATACACATATCCATATATATGCGTATACATACATCTTGATACGTGTGAGTCTAAGTACACATATGCAAGGATCGAGTCTGCATGTACGTATGTATAGATATATATGCTACGCTTATAGAAAACGATCAAAGGTGGTGAACTGGTTGGTGTTTTAGCATGGTCGAGCGACGATCGAGGCATTAAGAGAATTAAAGGGAAAAAGGTAGATAGTGAAAGACAGAGAGAGAAATAGACAGATAGAGAGAAGAGAGAGATATATATATGTATATATAGATAGAGAAATATATAGTAAGAGAAATACAGGGAGAGAGAGAGAGAGAGAAAGAAAGAGAGAGAGAGAGAGAAAAGACAGACGAGTATTATGTATGTAAAAGCGAAGTCTATTACGCGTGAAGAAGAAAGAAAAAGGAAAAGGACTAGGGCTGTTAGAGAAAAAAATCTACTGACTAATCCTAATTGCAAACCAAACAAACGAACCAACCTCCTCGGTAAGGCCTAGCCGAAAATGTTCGCGGGACCCCTGTAACAAAAACATATATAAATCATAAGAAATCATAGAAGAAACAAAAAGAAACAACTACTGACTTTAATGAGTGACAGACGTATGTTACAGTATCACATGAGAGCGAAAGATGGAGGAGACTCGGCTATATATCGGGGGAAGTCGGAGCGAGTGGGTGTCGAACGCGTCAACGCTCGCCGACGGTGCATTACCGATCAAAATCGCTCTCGACAACACGCAATCGAAACAAAATATCCTTTTCTTTTTAACGTCGAAGCGCCACGCGCGGTGTCTCCGTCGCGATATAGACAAATCGATCGTCAATTTTTCGTTTTTTTCTCTCCGTGTCATAAATTTCAGATAATATATTTGCGAAAAAAAAAGGGGAGGGAGAATTCAATTCGGTACGCACACGTCCATATTCCGAACAAAACCTATATAATATTCACGATCATGATTTGCTTCTGAGCGTTCAATTCGAATTGCTCACGCGATCGACGCGTCGTGCATTATTTCCTTTTAATTGCAAAACATTTGCCGCGCGCGAAAATCGATCGAAAACGAAAACAAAAATATTCCCCGTTTGACACCCCTTTTACACAGAGACGCAGAGTCTACTATATAGCCTTTTTTTTTTTTTTTTTTACGATCGCTCTTCGGTGGGGGAGACCCATTGTGATGGCCATTGAGCGCGAAATAAAGTTTGCACCGCAAACCCGCTTTTCGGCCGCGATTAGTCGCTATCGAAAGCGCGGTCGGACTGACGAATAGCCGGCCGCGTTCGCGCACAGCACACCGGTTCGGTTTAAACCAAAATCGAACGCGCGCCCCCTGCGGGCGAATCTTATTCAGCGCGGCAAAATTGACGCGGAATAAACGCGAATTGTTGTATCCGCGCGCGCGCGGCAATACCGCGCACGGAAGTGCGTAATGTTTAATACCCACACATCTCTCTAATGGGAATAACCTGCGTTAAATATGTACAATATGCATAAGTGTTTCAATCCGCGTAATTCAGTTCGGCGAAATAATATACAGACGTTCGGCGCGAGAATCGTGCGCGCGCGCGCGCGCGCGCTGGGAACGAACTTTCCGGGGAAATTGGTATGAAATACGCGGATGACACGTCGTATTTAACTCCTCGCGTCGGAATGAAAACGAAATGAGAGAGATGAATAATTATTTCGATATTGAATCCGATTGTGTGCGCGCGCGCAACAATCCGGGAGGAGCGCGCGACGTATCGGAAATGCGATACGGAGGAATAACGCGGGAGAGGAGCGCGTGGAAATGGCGCGTTATGTATATTTTTTTCCGCGGACGTTTAAATCGACGATCTCTCTATGTTTCTCGCGCCCAAAACTCCGTATCGCGCCATTCTAATTATTCTCTCACGCGTTAAAAACAAAACGAAACAAAACAAAAAAAATGTAGTAGCAACCGCGTGATATACTACTCTCGACACACACACGCCCGGGCGTTTTTGTTTGTACATACGTTTGCGGAGCCAAAACTCGCGCACGCGCGAGAATGCGAAATATTGCATAATAAATCGTGTCCTTTATTTCCGAATGTATGTATCCGGAAGCTTTATTTCTCCCACCAATTCGCGCGCAAAACGATCATCAACGCTCTCTTTCTCTCTCTCCCTCTCTCTCTACGTCAAAGATGAATCGTCGCGCCGACGACGATGCGAAAACGACGAAGAAATGGGAAAAGAAGAGATCTCTCTCCTGCGGTATATCTCCTGCGAGATCTCCCGCGCGGTGTCGATGATTCACGCGTGTATTTTCGTCGCGTGAAAAAAAAAAAAAAAAAAAAAAAAAAAAAAAAAAAAAAAAAAAATAGCAAAAAAAAAAAACAATTAAAAAGACAATTTAACA